AAAAAATAAAAAAAACTGGTGCCAGGCATAGTTGCTTACGCCTATAATCCCAGCAACTTGGGAGGAGGCAGGAGGATTGCAAGCCAGCCGCAGCAATTGGATGAGACCCTGTCTCAAAATAAAATATAAAAAAGGTAGGAAGATATGGCCCAGGGGATAAGCACTCTGGGTTCAATCCCAAGTACCAAACACACACACACACACACACACACACACAATACCATGGTACCTCTACCCTAAATTTCCACTTCTTAATTTTGTAAGTTAAAGCTGCTGAGAGTTTTAAAAATTTTGATTCTCTACTGACAGGAAGGGAAATAAAAGTTTCTAAATTAATACCAAAATATCAGTTGCTGTGTAACCTTAATTTGACCAACATTAGGAATAAACAGCAGTGTTATTATAGAAAATAAATGATATATTTTTATTGGTGGTAAATTTTTAAAAAGTGATTTTTTAAAAGGCAGCACAAAACTTCCTGACAGCTTTTTTGTTTAAAATAAAACTGCTGTTGTGTGACCCACACCTATAATCCAGCAGTGCAGGAGACTAAAACAGGAGGATCAGAGAATCACAAGTTCAAGGCCAGCCTCAGCAACTCAGCAAGGTGCTCAGCAACTTAGACCCTATCTCAAATAATAATAATAAAAAAAAGCGGAAGAGGGGTTGAGGATAGAGCTCAGTGGTAAAGTTCCACTACCAAAAATTAAATAAATAAAATAGAAACTATGACTAAAGGAAATGGTCTTAGAATCCAATGCTCAACTGGGTTTCAAGTATAACATATTAGGTAAGTTCTTACTACAAATGGATACATTCATTCTATTCTAAATATACTGATTTCATTATGTTCATGAGATTTCCAAATAACTAGTAAAATAAAAGATTTTAGTCCTCAATGATAATTAGCATCTTCCAACACCATTGCAAAATACCTATAAACACTGGAAAACATTAGTTTTCATTCCGCACAAGACAAGGCATAGTTCTTGTTGTATATCGTTCTCTCCCCCTTTTGTACTGGGAATTGACCCAAGTATGCTTGGCCACTGAACCACATCCCCAGCTCTTTTGAGAGAGTTGCTGAGGCTGGCCTCAAACTTATAGTCCTCCTGCTTCAGTCTTTTCAAGTCACTGGGATTTACAGACATGTGCCACTGAATCCAGCAGTACTTCTGTTTAGAGAGAGCCAAAGTAAAAATTCCATCCAATCCAGATTATGGCAAAGGCTAAGATGTTTGTTTCTTAACTTGTTCTAAAATATCAGTTTTGAGCAAAACTTTCTACAGAGTGAATATGTGATACCAAATATTTGGTTCATGAACACTAAACTATCCTTACTCTTATCAAATTTAGACACTACATATCAATACCCTTCCCCCCTTTACAACAGAGACACATTATTTTATATCTTCATGGAAATGGCATGCAAATCAGTAAGATCAGGAGAGATTATTGAATATCTCCTTTATATTAAATAAGAAAATTGCCTATGTAGACTATGCTTTTCAGGGGACTTGGGGGAAATGATACTCTGGGTAAAATAAAATTCTGTATCAGATCCAAGTTCACAGATTAATATCAACCCAACAGCCCCTCCACCCAGCAAGAAAAACATCCAATGCTTAAACAAAAGGCAAAGAAACCTCTACATGAGCTTTTGGTTCATTTAGATTTTACATTTAAAACATAGTTACTATGTTAACAATCTCTGCATTAGCAGTTCTTCAATCTCAATTTACAAAGATCCACTTGAAAGATTATATACATAGATCAATTTTTTAAAAAGATTTTTAGTTGTAGATGGACACAATACCTTTATTTATTTTTATGTAGTGCTAAGGATCGAACCCAGTGCCTCACACATGCTAGGCAAGCTCTCTACCACTAAGCTACAATACCAGCCCTCAATTTTGTTTTAAAAGTAAGCTCTGATAAAGTTTTATTAAAGAAAAATTCTGTTTGTTTTACTTTTTACCACTCTGTTCTGGCATGCTTCTGTTATCAGAATCACCTGGATCAATGACAGTGTGCCTACTCTAGTATTTTCTGCATGCTGTGCCCAAGTCAATATTATTGCCACTGCAGGGATAGACATCAGTCTGGGCAAGCATAACACAGTACTCTATTTCAGATTTCCTCAAAGCTGGGAAGTTGTTGGGGAAGATGATCAATTTCATTTTGCCTGGCACATACTTTTTTCCTTTTCATAACAAGTTGGAGCCTAGAGCTGATCCATTTCAGAAACTTTTTTTTTTCTTTTCCTTTGTAGCCAGCATTTTTCTGCCTTTAAGACCGGACAGCCCCCCAACCAAAAGCAGCTGCCAAGATGGCTGGGGAGTAAGAAAGGCAGATCAACTTTATGATTCTTTAACTCATCTTCCTGGACCCTTGGTATGTACATGGTGATTCTTCACTATGGGGACTTATTATCCCCTTATAGTTAAGAGAAAATATTTACACTCTATTGTAAAGGATTGAGGATAAAAAGACAATTTGTAAAGTAAGAAATTCCAAAAACAATGTGGAGTCATTTCTTTTTGAAAGATTACACTGTTCTGTTCAAATATCCTGTATGAATGTTCATTATCATTAATCCCTAAATTTTAATACCATACATTACTGTGGGCCCAGACATTGCATTTTATATTTTCATTTAACTAGTATTGAGAGTCTATGTGCAAGGCACCATGCCAGTGATTTGGGGCATAAAAAACAAAACACCCTGTTTGAAATTTAGTATAATATATACTACATTACAATAACACAAGATAGGACATAATATTTTTCATAGAAAGTAAAAGAGAGGCTGGGTATAGTGGCACATGCCTGTAATCCGAGCAACTTGGGAGGCTGAGACAAGATCTCAAGTTCGAAGCCAGACTCAGCAATTTAATGAGACCCTGTCTCAAAAGAAAAAAAGGGCGGAGGGCTGGAGATGTGGTTCAGAGGTCAAGTGCCTCTGGGTTTAATTTCCAGTACCAAAAAAAAAAAAAAAAAAAAAGAAAGTATAAGAGAGATGACTTTCACAGGGTTGGGTTGGGTGGGAGAATGTGAAAAGACAGAGCAACCATTTTCATGCCATATTTTAAAATTAAGCCAGTTTAGTAGTGAGTTCTTCAGCTGTATTTTGATATTTGGCACATTAAAACCAAACAGGCTATATGTGTTTCAATAATTTACTTTGCAGCTTACTCAGATAAGTCTGCTTCACAATTTACTGGGAATGTCATACAAGAAAGTGCAAATGAATACAATTATAGTGCAGAGATTAAAAGCATGGATTTGAGACTACATTCAGGGTTCTGTGTCCTTAAAATTATTTAGTCTGAGTATTCTCCTAAAACCTGGAGATAAAACATTTCAAGTGATCATTCCACACCATTTGACTAAAGTACCCACTTTTTGGGGTATGATAGGGCCAATAATCCCTTTAAGACATAATTTACTATAAAAATGCCATTTTTCTTCCTTCAAGTTGTCTATTATGCATAGACTACTGTTCTAAGCAGACCTACTAACTGGTTATCTTATCTATTCTAGGCCTCAGTTTCCTCCTCCATAAAATGACAGGGCGGGACTGGATGATCTAAATAGTCCCTTCCGGCTCTTAAAAAGTCCCATGACTCCATAATGACTCAATAAATACTATTGCAAGAGTCAGCTTTTAAGAGTGATAAGAGTTTGAAGCTAAATGAAAGTTTCTTTTCCATAAGTTATTTCTTGAGCAAGTTCATACAACATTTTAATTACAAAAAATGGGTCTGCAAGATGAATTTACAAGTTAGAGGCACTCAATATATCTATATATTATAGATATATATACTATTAGCAAACAAAAATCCAACCAGACTGAATTAACTTTAAAATATTAAAGTCACAATATTCGCTTTACTGTCAACTTTCTATTCTGTAAAAATGCAATTTTCCCTTACTATAATAGATAAGTGTTCCTATTCGTGCCAATCAGGAGTTTCAGGAGCAAAATGTTTTTCCGAACTATTAATGAGGGTGGGAGAGGGACAAGCGAAGGAGAAGCAAACCATCTGCTCAAACTTGCAAGGACGATCTTTTCGCCAAAAGGCATCGTTTTTTGTTTGTTTGTTTTCCAGAAGAAAAATCCGAAGGGCCCGGTAAATACCGGAGTAGTTTCAAATAAAATTCATGGCGCTGGTAAGTCAGTTTTAGTATCAGACAAATGGAGATGGCGAAAAAGAGAAGAGGACAAACTTCCTGGATTCTCTCTCTGCGAGAGAAAGAGATTTCCTCTTGCTGACGAAGGGAAAGGCCCCTTTAACAATTTTTCTCTGCACGGTGGCTGCTGCCAGACTAGGTGGGGCTCCCTCCGCTGCCTTCCTCCTGCCACTTCCCGCAACAAATGGAGCAAGCCAGCCCCGTTTCAGGCAAACTTTTTCCCTGTCAGGCTCGAGCCCGCAGGGCGCCGGGGAGTGGTTTCCCCCGAACGCTCCTCGCCCAGGCTCCGGGCTGGGGGAAGGTGGGTCTACGCAAAGGACAACTTTCTGGTTTCCGTTCTAACTTCCACCCACACCCGGGAGGGAACCCGGGCGGCCAGTAAGGGGGCTCCCGGGCGGGGAGCAAGTCTACGGGGAAGCCGGCGGGGGAGGCGGGCAGCGGGAGAGGCTGCGACGGCCGCGGGCAGGAGGGAGCGGGCGGGGGGGGGGGTCCTCGGGCTCTCACTTCCTCCGCCATATTTCAGACATTTGACCCCTTCCGCAAAGCGCGCCGTTCCCCCGCGGCTGTGGCGGCGGCGGCTGCGGATCCTTCTCGCTCACCCGGGAGGCAGCGCGCTGGCTGACCGAGCGCCGAGCCCTCGCGCCACCTGCCGCGCGCTGAAGGGACGCCGTGGCTGTCGCGGGGCCCCCGACCGCCCCGCCCGGCCCGCGCCGCACCCCACCCGCTCCCCTCAGCCGGCGCCGGGTCCCGCCCCGCGCGGCCGCTGCGGCCGCTCCCCTCAGCGGCCACGCACGTACTCTGCGAACCTCTCACGCTGTCACCGGGTTCCCGTAGCCAGCGTCGCCCCGCGCTCCCTCCGGGTCGCTGCTCTGGGCGCCACGGCGGTCCTGTCGCTGCCGCCGCCGCTCCGGCTGGTTTACACGCCTGACTCTGGGCGAGGTTTGGCGGTGTCGCCTTGACGTCAGGCGTTCAGCCTCGCTCTCGCTTCCGCCCGCGGGCGGGGCGCGCGGGTGCGCGGCCCGGGAAGGGGCGGGGCTGGGGGCGGGTCCATTGAACAGAGGGGCGGGGTCTCCGAGTGCTGGTTCTCGCCCTTGGCGTGGAGCCGGCCTTTGGCCTCCGGGGAAAGCAGGCCCGGCACTTGGACCCCCTTAGCGGCTGGCTCTCAGTCTTGCTGTCCCTTCAACCTCGCCTCTGCCGGAGGGCTGGTGGGTGGAATCACGCGTCAGTTTTCCCTGAGCGCACCCTTCCCGACCCCAGCGAAAGCTCAGGGCTTAGAAAACCCCCCAGAACCTAAAGGTGCCTTAAACTAAAACCCAGTTACCAACGCCTTCAAACCGTTGGTTTTCACTAAGTTCTTTGTGCTGAGGACAGTAGCTTGAGAAGTAATCGGGGCTGTACAATTTCTACGCCTAGAGCTCCCTTGAAGGAGCCTAGGCCAGGACACAATCTTTTTTCTTGAAAAGGCCTTTCTCCTGAACTGACAAATATTTCATCCACTGGTGACTTAACCGTGGTGAACTCTTAACTTGCCAAACGCAGTTAACAAATCCATGATCTCCAAACTTGTACCCTGTGCCTAAATCAACAGTGCATGTGGAAGTGCTTTGAGACACTTTAACGACTTTACGGATTTCCCATAGGTACGCCTATAATGTGACTTCAGGACACAAGAAAACACTTTCTGTTCCAAAAATGTCTCTTTCCAAACAGCACAGGAACTTACCAAGGGAACTTAGCCATATTTAGAGAAGAGATGAAGTAACTTATTGGAGGCTTTTTTTTTTTTTTTTTTTTTTAAAAGCTTTGATGGACAAAAAGATTCTGAGAATAAAATGCAGGGGAAAGTTGAAGATCATTGAAACCTAACTTTTGCTTAAGTTATGGTTTGCCTGCACATGCATGTAATCCCAGCAACTAGAGGCTGAGGCGGGAGGATCACAAGTTTGAGGTCAGCCTCAGCAACTTAGCAAGTCCCTGTCTCAAAATTTAGAAAAATTAAAAAAGGATGAGGAATATAGTTCAGTGGTAGAGTGCTCCAGGGTTCAATCCCCAGTACTGAGAGAGAAAGGAAAAAAAAAGATGTATATTTCTTATCTTTGTCACTGTTGGTACCTGACTTGATGCTTTTCACACAAACAGGCATTTAAGATATATTTGCTGAATTTCTGATCCCAATGTAGTGTGTAATGTTGAAGAACATAGAGCCATCCTTTAGCTCCACTACTTGTTAGCAAGTTATTCTTTGGCAAATTCTGTAACAATGTAGAATATTAGTTTTCTCATCTAGGATGTAATATTATAACATCTGCCTTACAGAATTGTTGTAAGATAAGGTATAGAAAATAGATCTCAATCCCTGGGACAAGAAGAAGCATAAAGTTAGTTTCCTGCCTTTTAGAAAAAGTGAATTAAAAGTGAACTCACCCATAACTATTGCTGTATTTAATCTGAAATAATACTTCTGATTTTTCATGCTGTATGATTCCTTAAAATTTTTATTTCAAATAACATCCATATTTCCTTAGTTTCATTTAAAAATACACAAAAGTACAAATAAGTATATATATATATATATATATATATATATATATATATATTTTTTTTTTAAGTCCCCAATTTATTTATTTAATTTTTTTTTTAGATGTTGATGGACCTTTGTTTTATTCATTTATTTATATATAGTACTCAGAATCGAACCCAGTGCCTCACACATGCTAGGCAAGAACTTTACCACTGAGCTACAACCTCAGCTCCAATTTATTATTTTTTAATAAATATGCTAATTATTATCAGCATAAGCAAAATTTATACTATTTAACTTCCAAATAAATTTGGCTGCCAATAGCATTAATATTTTGTTTCATTCACAAGTGAACAACATTGAAATTGGAGCCTTTCAAGGTACTTTTCCTGGCTTTTCCCTCTGCGATGTACGTGTGCGGGTTTGTGTGTCTGTGCATGTTACATGAGTATGTGTATATGTGTATAGGGTATGATATAGAATTATGATTCTGTACCTTTGCAAAAACCTGCTGGAATTAGGGGTTGAGAAGGATAAGAAGACTGCTTTTGGTATGCAAAAGGAGAAAACAACATGGCTTAAATCCCCAGCTAGTTTCATTCTGTTTTCTTGGTCAAAAATTACATTCCAAACTCTGTGTAGTTATTTCATAAATTCTACCACTTAATCACACAGGAGACCAGGTAAGAGCACACTAGAAAATTGCTATTATGGGAAAACAACTCAGAACTCACACTCTCCTAAGGGTAGTTTGTGTACCTCTAAGATTTCTGTTTTGGGGAAACTATGTACTTATAGATAAGAAAAATGAAGTAGCTTGGCATGTTTTCTACTCAACGTAATAAATGTTATAGCTGCTTATTTGTCTCAAGATACATTTTGAATTCTACCTGTACTGTATTTCAGCAGTTGTGAGCTTGACCACTGAACTTGCATATTAAATAATGTGAGGATTCTATAATTTTGTCAGCGCTAATGTCTGTGATTTAAGGAATGGATTATTATTAAAAATTCCCCTCAAAATACAGGAGAGAGAACTTCTTGATGTTAAATTGGGGTGAAAGGAGTGCCTAAGAGAAATGAAAGTCTCATGATGAAAGGAAATAAAGGATCCAAATATTTTTTTAAAATTCCCCTCTTAAGCCTTAGCTGAAAAAAACATAAAAATGAAAATGACATTCCCAGAGCCATCATGTAAATAAGCATTAAAAACAGGAAACCCTTGCAAAAACCAACTTCATGAAATTACCCTCATCATGAAATTTTCAAAAGCAATTTGAAGGGCTGGGTTGTAGAGTGTTTGCCATCCTGGAACTTTCTCATTAGATTGTAATTACCTTCAACTCCCAGTTACCCCCAAGTCCTGTGTATGAATCATATACCTCAATAATTACCAAATTTCAAGAGATAGGTTTTAATGACCCATTATACAGGTGAGAAAGTTAAAGCTTAGAAAGACTAAGTGCCCAAGGCTAGCTATATATAAATATGTGGCAGAGTTGAAATTTCTTTCTTTTAACTAGCATGAACATATTTTATTACATAAATGTAAAATGTATATAAGTAAAGTGAATATTATATCAGTTACCCAGATTTAATACCTGCTTATTACATGCCATTTTTATTTTTTTATGCTTCTATCCATTTCCTAAAATAGACCAACCCCCCTTCTTGCATATTTATTTTTTGGTGAGGTCATATGTATACGTCTTGAATTCATAGATATTAATGATACAGATTTTTTAATTGGTTTTAGTTTTTAAACACAATTCTTATTACACATATAGAACAATTTTTCATGTCTCTGTATATAAAGTATGTTCACACCAATTCATGTCTTCATACATGTACTTTGGATATTAATGTCCATCACATTCCTCTATCATTGCTAATCCCCTGCCCCCTCCTTTTTCCTCCCTCCCCTCTGCCCTATCTAGAGTTTGTCAATTCCTCCCATGTGCCCTCCCCTACCCAACTATGAGTCAGTCACCTTATATCAGAGAAAACATTGGCCATTTGGTTTTTTTGGAATGGCTAACTTCACTTAGCATTATCTTCTCCAACTGCATCCATTTACCTGCAAATGCCATGATTTTATTCTTTTTTATTGCTGAGTAATATTCCATTGTGTATATATGCCACATTTTTTTAATCCATTCATCCACTGAAGGGCATTTAGGTTGGTTCCACAGTTTAGCTATTGTGAATTGTGCTGCTGTAAACATTGATGTGGCTGTGTCCCTGTAGTATTCTGTTTTTAAGTTTTTTGAGAATAGACTGAGGAGAGGGATACCTGGGTCAAATGGTGGTTCCATTCCCAGTTTTCCAAGGAATCTCCATACTGCTTTCCATATTGGCTGCACCAATTTGCAGTCCTACCAGCAATGTATGAGTGTGCCTTTTTCCTCGCATCCTCACCAACACTTATTGTTGTTTGTCTTCATAATAGTTGCTATTCTGACTGGAGTGAGATGGTATCATAGAGTAGTTCTGATTTGCATTTCCTTAATTGCTAGAGATAATGAACATTTTTTCATATATTGTTGATTGATTGAATATCCTCTTCTGAGAAGTGTCTGCTCATGTCCTTGGCCCATTTATTGATTGGGTTATTTGTTTGTTTGTTTGTTTGTTTGTTTTGGTGTTTAGCTTTCTGAGTTCTTTATATACTCTAGAAATTAGTGCTCTATCTGATGTGTGAGGGGTAAAAATTTGCTCCCAAGATGTAGGCTCTCTATTCACCTCAAAGATTGTTTCTTTTGCTGAGAAGAAACTTTCTAGTTTGAGTCCATCCCATTTATTGACTGTTGCTTTTAATCTTGCACTATATAAATTTCTATCTTGGTTTATCTGACTTCTTTTGACATCATGCTGCCCTCCTTCTTTATTCACACTATTCTTTTAGCCAGAAAAATTCTCTCTTCTTTTGTATTTACCTAAGTCTTTCTTCAAGACTCAATGATCTCTCCCTCTTTGAATTTCTGCAAAAATTGTTTACACCATCCATTTGGTCCTTATCATACATTGCTTAACTTGAATTACTTTTGGTTTTTCTCCATCTTCAGATCCTTGAGAACTGAAGCCACATCTTATTCTTTGTACTGATCATACCGTGAGCATTACGTATAAGAAATTAATGTTTTGGGGAGTCTTGATAATCTTGGTTAGATTCTCCATATTGATCATAGAGGATTCATGACCCATTGCAGTTATTTAATCTTTCTGAGTTTCTTTTTATTAATCTTTAAAGTACACTAAACAATATAAGTAGGGCTTTTGAAAATTTCAAAATAGCAGGGCATAGTGGTGCATGTAATCCTGGAGACTCAGGAGGATCCAAAAGTTCAAAGCCAGTCTTAGCAACTTAGTGAGACCCTTAGCAACACAGCCAGAGAAAGCCATGTATAAAAACAGAAGTTGGGCTGGGAGTGTA